CTGGACTGGAATGCTAGTCCCGGGGTGGAGGCTCTGAGTGCTTGGAGGTGCTGCCTGAAGTGTGAGGAATGGGATGGAGTTTGGAGGCTAATTAGAGGGCGGGGTCTGGGATGCTCAAGAGCCCAATCTTAGAGTAGCAGCTTCCAGGGGGTGTTCCGGGTGTTAGGGCTGCATGTTATTATCATCAGATAGTGAGGTCTGGAGGATTACTCAATTAGTCAGCCTAGTACTATTTGTTAAGAAGGCTGAGTCAGGACGTTTATTCTTTTTTTTAATTTTTTTTTTTTTTCACAATACCTTTATTCTATTTATTTTTATATGGTTCTGAGGATGGATCCTAGGGCCTTACACGTGCTAAGCAAGTGCTCTACCACTGAACTACAGCCCCAGGCCCAGGACGTTTATTCTTTTTTTCTCAGAGGCACTTGGCTACTGAGCCACATCCCCAGTCCTATTTTGTATTTTATTCAGAGACAGCGTCTCACTGAGTTGCTTAGGCTCTTGCTAAGTTGCTGAGGCTGGCTTTGAATTCATGATCCTCCTGCCTCAGCCTCCTGAGCCACTGAGATCATTGGTGGGTGCCGCTGGGGGGACATTTATTCTTTTTTTTTAATCTCTTTTTTTTTAAAGAGAGAGAGAGATGAGATGAGATGAGAGAGAGAGAGAGAGAGATATTTAATATTTATTTTGTAGTTTTCGGCGGACACAACATCTTTGTTTGTATGTGATGCTGAGGATCGAACCCAGGCCACACGCATGCCAGGCGAGCGCGCTACCGCTTGAGCCACATCCCCAGCCTGGGATATTTATTCTTAAGAGCTGAGTTTTTAAGATTACTGTGTGGTGGGGACTGGTTCCTAAGTAGTTAAATGGTGAGAGTCTGTGAGAGTTTAGAGGTAGGCAACAAGGTGAGGTCAGAGTATTAACTCAGGGGGCTGGTCCTAGGTATGTACCCTGATAGCATTCCACCTCTTTCATCCTTTAGCCATTAACATGCTGGACTCTGCGGACATAGAAGTCATAGACAGTCGCCTACCTCATACCACTGTTGTGGAACACCAACCTCAGGTACCACCTCACCCATATATTCAAAGCCATCTGCTTTAGGGCAGGCAATCAATGTACATTTGTGTCCTTACTCCAGCATTTTAGGTCAGAGACTCTGGGTATTCCTACTGCGCCAACTCGAGTGACCCAGGATAAGGCAAGATGTGCTTCAAAGCCACTCCAGGCCTCTGGTCGGTTCTCTGTGGAGCTAGTCCGCAATCACACAGGCTTTGGCCTCACTTTAAGTGGGGGCCGAGATGTAGCAGGTGATGCTCCACTGGCTGTGCGTGGGTTGCTGAAGGATGGGCCAGCACAGCGTTGTGGTCATTTGCAGGTTAGCCCTAAGCACCCTCCTTTCATAGGTGTGATCCCCACCTTTGTCCAGAAGCTCTCTATATTTCCTTCCTATACCACCACTGCCTTGCATTCTTGCAGGCTGGTGATCTCATTCTCCATATCAACGGAGAGTCAACGCAGGGACTTACCCATGCCCAAGCGGTGGATCGGATCCGAACTGGAGGTTCCCGGCTTCGGCTTGTGTTGCAGAGGCCTAATGAGACTCAAACTGGCAAGCACAAGGGGATGGGTGGGTCCCAAAAGGGAAGCAGTGGGTTTTCTAGGGAAGGAAATTAGAGGTCTGTGAGGGGAAGGAGAGGTTAGAAGGGGTTTAGTGGTCTCAGTGGGGAGGATCAGGATTTGGTGTCTAAGTGGGGTTAGTATATTTTTGAAAGTGGGGGTGGGAGGGGAGCCCTTCCTAGGAAAGGAATTTCAGAGGGGAAACTTTTTATAGGGGAAAGGAGAGGAGGGAAGAGATCTGGGGTAAAAGCAGATCTTCAGCTGGGTGTGGTGGCACATACCTACAATCCCAGCATCTTGGGAGGCTGAGTCAGGAGGATGAAAATTTGAGGCCAGTGTCAGCAACTTAGTGGGGATGTGGCTCGGTGGTTAATCGCTCCTGGGTTCAGTTGTTGGTCCTACTATTCCTACTACTACTAACAATAATAAAAGCCAGTGTTCAGCAGGGTCTTAGTCCTTGGAGGGATAGGCAGAATGGAGTCTCAGCTGGGAGGATATGGGATGGAGATCTAGAGAGTAGAAGGTTTAGTTCTGAGAGACAAAGGGTTGATAAGGGAAAAGTTGGGAGTCAAGGTGGGATGAGAGAGGGAATAGTCAAAGGTCTTAGACTGGAGAGATTATTAGTGCCAAGGCCAAGGTCATGGTTTAATTTCCTTTAGGGATTATGGGAAATGATTTCTGTGTGGGTGTCCTGGATTAAGGCAGGGAAGAGTCTAGAGAAAGGAGGTGTTGGGGCTTGTGTGTGGGGGTACTAATCACTGGACACCTCCAGGAAGGTGGAGGAAGATTTCTCTAAGGGAGGGGGGGTGTCTCTGTTTCCTGCCACCCTTGGGCCTTCTGGGCCATCCTAAACCCTGGACCCCAATTTTCGTTTTCCACTCCATCAATCTAAACTGTAGCCCTGTCATTCCCAGACTGCCGTCCAGATCTTGTAGGTCCGGCGATGATGAAGTCTCACAGTGCCAGCCTTTCCCCAGTTCACCACCCTCAATTCAATAGGACCCCAAAGACGCGGGGCAGCCCTGAGCCTAGTCCAGAGGCAGTGGTCGACGCTCCCGCAGTTCCTCCAGCAGAGCGCCACATGGAGGACCCTGATGACCGTATCCCTGGTTCCCCAGGACCCTGGCTGGTGCCGAGTGAGGAACGGCTCTCGCGGGCCCTAGGTCTCCCAAGGGCTGCGCAGCTCGCTCAGGAGACAGCAGCTGGAAGGAGAAGGCACTGAGCAGACGACATAGGGCTCTGTGCTCACTTGGTAGGGTCCAGTCTGGATCCGATGGGCCCCGACCGCAATGCATTAGCGTCGGGCTGAGAGCTCCTACTTGTCTGGTCTTCCCTCCCACCAAGTAGTTGACTGGCCCGCGCTCCCCTCCAAGCGTCTGCAGTCCAGCCTTCCCAGACCCCCTCAAACCCACGCTTCTGGTTCTGGGCGGGGATGTAATAAAATGGTTTGATCTAGTCTTGACTTGCCAGGTGCTCCAGGAGGGGTGGGGCTTCCAGATCACCCTGGAAAGGAGGGGGTGGGTCCATCCGGTTTCGAGGAGGACCTCTAGTAACCAGCGATGAGCTGCGCGCAGTTGCTTTCAAGTTTTCGCTTCTGCCCATCGTCGCTGGGCTCGCGGGCTTGCTCCCCTTTCATTTTCCTTGTGTTAACTCCTGCTCCTCCCCATTCATTCATTTCACTCGTTTGGAGACGTGAAACGCTCCACATATATGATTGTGGCATGGGGAATACAGACGTGGACCTATTGTGGTAGTGTCCTCAACATATACCTGCTGTCGCAGCTCAGAATCGTTCAGACTCTCAGCTTACATAAAGATAGCAAGTCTAGAAGCAGGGCGGCTTTCCTCCCTAGGAGTCTGCGGTCTCCCATTTCCGGCCTAGAAGCCAGCTTTTGCTGGCACGGAGACTGCCATCCTCAGGGTACAGGCTGGGGCCCTGGAGCCCCCTTTGGGACAGGAGCCGGGAAGGTGTGAGTCATCGCCCGGGGCTGGGCCAGGCTAAAAAGAGCAGTTAGAACCTTTGGGCCACGCCCCACTTTTCCATAGATGGTGACGAACTGCAGCGGGCCTTGTGCTTACACGCCATATGCTGGGCGTTCCGGGTCCCTAGAGAAACACAGAATTTCCTCCACCCTTCCAGCGGAGCCCCACAGCTGGGGCTTATAAGACCAGCGGGATTCTAACCAGGGTAGCCCCAAGGCAACTGCAGTCTGAGACCAGAAATATTAGGACACCTTTGCGGTCACCACATCCTGAACACTGGGCCCCAACCCCCCAAGGAGGGAAGCTGTGGTCTGACTGGAACTGGCAACTTTCAGTCCCTATGGTGAAGAGGTGTGGAAGTGGAGAGAGAAATTAAAGGGTCAGAGTGCGAGAGTCTGGGGTTGTGCTGGAGTGGAGACAAGGATTGCAAAACTGAGTTGGATTATGAAGAACATTTTAATGGTTAGCACCGTACACATAGCAGTGAGTGTCCGTCTTCCAGCTACCCTTGACTCAGAGCCTGGAGGAAGCATGACTCCACAGTTGTCAGGAAGGGTTCTAGAGCCCCATTCCTATAAACACAGTCACACCCAGGGGACTAATTATAATAATCCCAGTCACATTTATCTCATATCACTTCATCTCTGCTAGTGGTTTTAGTGCAGTATTTATTTTCATCTAGTTACACACCAACTCAAGTAGCCTGTAGGTCCATTTCACAGTGGGGGAAAGCAAGGCCCCAAATGAAAATAGCTTGAGGTGTGTGTGTGAAGAGGTTGAAGTAAGAGTTAATCAAACTTGATTTCTGAACCTGTCCTCTTAATCTCACCTATATTTGACAAGTAGTAATAGAAACTTGGCTGTCTGTATACCTTGCATGAAAGTATTATGGAGATACTTGTGGAATAAGACATAAAGATTCCATCTAATGGGATGAATAAAGGTTATTGTTACATTTCCAAATATATATATTTCCATCTGTGTGTAGCAGACGTCATGAGGGTAGGCATATGTCAGATAAGAAAGATAAGGCAATGAATTTTTAAAAGACAATTTCAGAAAAAAAGTGAGAATTACAAAGATAGCAAAAGGAGGTTATGTTGGGGAGGATCATGGTGGGCTGCTAGCCTCTTTGAGGACATGACATATGAGCTGGAACCTGAATGATCACAAGTCAGATGACTAGTTGTGGGGAAATGGCATTGACAGCAGCTGGAACAAGTGCAAAGGTCCTAAGGCAGCTGAGTTTGTCTTGTTCAAGAAATTTGGGCATTCCTTACTGAAATAGAAAGCACACACTCAGCACTGGGGAAAAATGTTTCTACCCCTTCCACTATTCAGTCACTCTTTCAGCAGCCTTAAATTTGAGGGGCCCTGTGTTTGGGAGGGGGACAGCAGGCAGGTCCACAAGGTGAATCCTTCTATGAATCCAACTATGACTCTCCACCTCAAATGAGATGAGAATGAAACTGATGTCCAGTCTAGAGAGTGTGTCATCATAACACATTGGGGTGTTGATTCCAGGTAACCAGGTGCATGTTTCAGACACAGGCATCCAGGCTGAGCCAGAAGTTACTTGCTCAGTATAATAACTCTGCAAATGACAACAACTATGTCTTCAGCCTTGAATTTCAGGACCCATCCCCTATCTTGCCAAGCAATAAATATGCCTTTCTCCTCAAAACTGGAAACTGAGGCCCAGCACTTAGGGCCAAGACTTCTCTGGAATCGCACTGCACAGAATCAGACCCTGGGCTGTCCTGGCTCTAAACCTATTAACAATGTCCACCCCCATTTACTGAGCAGCTTCATGCTCATCAGGCCCCGCTTTAACTCCACCTTTGCATCACCATGGTCTCATTCTCATCACTGCTGAGATTTATTTCACTCCGCTATCCTTTATCCAAAGTTCCAAAATCCAAAAAGCTCTGGAAACTGACTGCCCCATGCCCACCACAGGTTTGGTACCAATCGTCTGTACAAGCTGACCTGATCTGATGAAAAACAATATTCAGTCCTTATTTATCCCACTTGTTGTGAACACTCACAGTTTTTTTTTTTTTTTGAGGAAATAATTAACCCTAACCATCCCAGACCTCGCCGAGGGTGTTAAGTAATATATCATACAGGCATCGGGAAAACTTTCTAAAATCCAACATTTTCCGAATTCTGGAAACATACCTGGCCCTTAGACTTTCGGGTTTAACCATGGCCTCGGCTGGTTTTCAGCTGAGGAAACTGAGTCACTCCCTCCCAAAGCCAGATTCCCGCAGTTCTAAGTTGAGGCAACTCTGTTTTGAATTTTAAAAAGGCGAAGAGTCTTGATATTCCCGCGCCCGCCCGGTACCTGGAGCTGCAAAGCACCTTGGGGATGGGGCGTCCCCAAGGCTTTGCGCCGGGCTGGGACAGTCCTTGGCGGGCGGGGCGAGGGGGCTTCCGGGGCGGCAGCCACCTGGCCCGGCCCCCTCCGGCCCCGCCCGCTTGGGCTCAGCGCGGTGATTCACTCCCTCCTTCGCCCCGGGGGCCCCCTTCCCGGCCAGACGGCGGGCAAGACGGCTGGGTGTGCAGCGTCCTCGAACCCGCGAGCCAGCGAGCCAGAGAGCCAGCAGATCCTCTGTACCCGCAGGAACTCCAACCCACGCCATGGCGGATTCCGAGCGTCTCTCGGCCCCCGGCTGCTGGGCCGCCTGCACCAGCTACTCGCGCACCCGCAAGGGAATCCTCCTGTTCGCCGAGATTGTGAGCGTCCCCGGGCAGGCGGGTGGGCAAAGGCGGGGTGAGGTGGCGCGACCACGCGGTACTGGACAGTCCGGGGTGAGGCAGGCACGTGGTCGGGGCGCTGGGCCTTGGGGCGCAGGTGGCTGGGTTCGTGGCCGAGGCTGGGAACTGGGGGTGCAGCGGGAGTTGGTGGGATTTGGGAGGGTGTTTGGAGAGTTGGTGGAGCAAGGACGAAGCGGGGAGCCTGGGACGCACATGGGGGTTTTGGTGGGAGAAGCCCTCCAGGACTCAGTGGACTGAGCCAAGGGGTCTTGGGGGGCTGAGAAGTGGGGTGCCTTCCGTGGCAGGGCGTGGCGCGGCCTGGACACTGGCAGGCGGGCTGGCAGTGTGCCGAGAGGCGGGGCCTGTTGGGGTGGGGCCCCGTGCACTAGTGTGGCGGGGTGGTGTGCCCCACCCTCCGCCAGTTCTTTCTTGCCCTTTTGGGACTGGGAGGAAGGTCCTTAGCTTTCCAGGCGTCTGGGGAACCTTGGTTTCCCGCCCCTCAAAGTGGGCACCGCCTTTGAGTCACTTATGAGAAGGGTGCGGTACCTTTAACGGAGCCCTGCCCCTCCAGTGTCACTCTCACCGCTTCCCAAAGGGGTTGCTGGGGGAACCGCACGTTCCGCCTCCTTATGGGTTGGAAGCTGGCGCCAGCCTTGCTCGCAAAACACCTGGCAGAGCCACTCCCCTCAGGCAGCCGACATCCTAGAAGGGAAAGCGGGGGAACTGAGGCACCCAACTGTGTTCCTTACTTTATGAGTGACCCTGGGAAGCCACTTAACTTCTCTGACTCACTTTTCTCATCTGTAAAACAGAGATACTAATAGTATCTAGCTCATTAGGTGGTTGTGATGACTGAATGAATCAATATTTTTAACTGAGAACAATGCTTAGAGCCCAGCATGGTGGCTCAAGCCTGTAATCCCAGCGATTTGGGAGGAGGCTGTGGCGGGAGGATCACAAGTTAGAGGCCAGCTTCAGCAATTTAGCAAGCCCCTGAGCAATTTAGCAAGACCCTGTCTCAAAATAAAAAGGGCTGGAGATGTAGTTCAGTGGTAAAGTACCTGTAGGTTCAATCTCTAGAAACCAACCAATCAACCAACCAACCAACCAAACAAACAAAAATCCACATTGCTCCAGGCACAGGGAACACACAGAAAGTGTTTAGCAATTATTGTGTGTCATTTTTTCCCAGACCTGGTAGGTATCTGAGAAGTGGATCTTTTTTTTGGAGCGGGGAGGGTGTTGGGGGTGTAACCCAGGGCCTTGTGCATGCAAGGTACTACCATTGAGGTATATTTCCAGCTCTGAGAAGTGGAATTCATTTATTTTTTCTGGTAGGCATTTGAATTTGAGACCCCTACTCTCCCAATTTAAACTAGTTCCCTCAGCCTTCGGAACTAACTGGGACCCCCTTTCCCATGTCACCCTTCCAGGTATTGTGCCTGGTGATTCTGATTTGCTTCAGTGCCTCCACATCAGCGTACTCCTCTCTGTCTGTGATTGAGATGATCCTTGCTGCAGTCTTCTTTGTCATCTACATGTGTGGCCTGCACGCCAAGATACCATTCATCAACTGGCCCTGGAGTGTGAGAAGGGGTCAAAATGGCAAGCTGGGCAGGGGCCTGGGCAGTTGGGATTGTCTGGGGAACTCTGGATGCTGACTTCCCTCTTCTCCCTACACCTCACAGGATTTCTTCCGAACTCTCATAGCATCGATCCTGTACCTGATCACCTCCATTTTAGTCCTTGTTGACAACAGAAGCCAATCCAGAATTGCTGCAGGGGTAAGCCTGTGGAGGCACCTCTAGAGCATAGGGAAAAGGGTTTGAAGATCCAGGGACCATCTGCTTCTGCTTTTGGCAAAAACTTATTCTCAGGGCCAACAGGAAAATCTGGCCCCAGCCATGGTTTATCTCCAAAGATCATTTGCTATAAAGGGCTGCCCGTTGTCAGACACAGGGCCTTTGTTGGAAGTATAAACATGCTAGATTGCCATCTGTTAGAACTTTGTCTCAAATGTAGAATGAAATATGCCCCCTACATTTGGCTGGCTGCCCTGTGTTGAGAGGTCCTAGGGGCGGAGTGGGGTAGAATCCAGCCTACTGGACTTTCTCTTTGGCTCTGGGGCTTCCAATCTAGATAGGAGTTACCATCCAGCATGGGGAAGTCCCTGGAGGTGGTGGATACCAGGAGTTAAGAGTCTGAATGGGCCAACCACCTAATCCAACTCCCTCACTCTCATCTCCATCCCCAGGTACTGGGACTGATAGCTGTGTGCCTCTTTGGCTATGATGCCTACTTTACCTTCCCTCTTCGGCAACAAAGACATACAGCAGCCCCCACTGGTAAGTGTGTGTGTGTGTGTGTGTGTGTGTGTGTGTGTGTGTGTTGCTGAGAAAGCAAAGGAGAAAAAGGAAAGGTATCTCCCAAGGGAGGGTAATAATGCCATTATGTTTCGTATCAGTAAGTGCCATAAGCTTCAACATTCCTATTTGTAAAATGGGCATATGGATGGGGCTGGGGTTGTGGCTCAGAGGAGAAGTGCTCATTTAGCATGCGTGAGGCACTGAGTTTGATTCTCAGCCCACACAAAAATTAAATAAAGGTATTGTGTCCACTTACAACTAAAGAATAAATATTTTTAAAAAACAGGCACATGGATGTTTTCTCTCTTTTCCTCCTGCAGACCCCACAGATGGCCCGGTGTAGGAGAACTTCCCTCATTTCTCTCTGCAATTTGAAAATAACTTCTTTTGGAAAACACTTCTTCCCACTCCCACAACAATCCTCCCAGCCAACCAACTTCTAGCCCCCTGTTGAGGTAACAGTGCCTTTTCCGGGAGAATTTTGTCTTCCAGACTGCTACTCAATCATCCTGGGTATGGACACTTTTATGGGTATGCCTAGGTCCCCCTCCCTTCTGCAGTATTCAGTTCTGCCTGGACCACACTCCCACCTAAACCACAAAGTGAGGGAAGTGGGTGCCTAGGATTTCAGAGTGTACACTCCACCTGGTGACCCACTCCAAATAACCTCCTCATTTTGGGGAATGGTTCTGTGGAGAGAGAAATAAATAATAAACATTGTTAAAATCTATGATAATGAATAAATTAATCCTCTGATCAAATGTGAACAAATCTCAAACATCCAGGTGGGTTGACCTGGAGTAAAGGAAGCAAAGAAGCCAGGCCTGTTTTATGACAAACATTAAATTATTTCAATAATACAAACAGAAGAAAGAGGGAGGAAGAAAGGGTATTTGACTTAGTTCAGGGTGGGCGGCATCATCTACGCTTATCAGAGAATAGAGCCCCCCTCCAGAGCTGCCTAGGTCTTTAAGCCACGATGCAGTTTTTGTCTCGGGCCTGGCGAGGCATCCCTGTGCGAGAATCCCCATGGAGCTGTGGGGTCGCAGAGCCTAAAGTCTCAGCTGCACTGTCGGGAGAGGTTGTGGGCCTGCGCAGGTGAGGGGGCAGTGGAATACGTTCCCCTAGGAAGAATCCATCATCCTCAGAGGATTCAGAACTGGGGCTGGAGGGTGAGCTGGAGCAAGATCCTGAGTCAGACCCTGATCCCAAGTCACAGCGATGGTAGCCACGTCGGCCGGTGTGGCGGTGGTGGTGGTGATGGTGGTGGCGGCGACGGCTGGGGGCCCTAGGTGGGGGACTACGTGGCCTGCGGCGCTGGGCCGGAGGTGCACTCAGGGTCCTCCGCGGACCTCCCTCTGAGACCAGAGGCTCACGGAAACTAACACGAGGGGTGCTTTGGCGGCCAAAGGCACTATCGTCAGGACGCAGGTCTGGTTGCTCTGGAGACTCCAGGGGTTGCTCAGGAGCGTTGCGGAGCCCCAGCTCGGGCATGGAGTGGCGATGGGGGGCCCCTCTCGTAAAGGGGGAGGGCTCCTCGGCGCCTGCAGCTGGAAAAGAAGAGATGGGGGCTCCCTATATCTGCCGCCCCCACCTGTGAGGAGGCTTGTGGAAAGGCCTTCTCCTTTTCCACCCACTAAGACTAGGGAAGTGGGGACAGGGATCTGAAGCCTGGTGCAGACTGGGTAAGGAGGAACCAGGTACATTTGGTGTATGGGGCGTGGCCAAGGGTTGGGGAAGCTCTGGGATGGAGTAGATTGGATTTACCACAGAATAGGGGTGGGGCCTGAGTGCAATGGGTGGAGGGTGATAGGTTGAAGGAAAGGAGGAACTTGGGCTCCACCAGGAAGCAAGAGAAGCACCCTGTATAAAAGCAAGATAAACCCAGGGTTCCCAAGGTAGGTGTAGCTGGGGCTGGAGACCAGCCTGGAATGGTGCGGCAAAGGAGGCTGGGTCAAACACTGGGCGGGGCCTGGGCAAGTCCTGGGGAAGGGCTCAGGTTGAGGTGGGGGGCGGGGCTGTGACTGGGCGTGGCTCTCACCAGGTGCCGCCTCCGTGCAGGTGCCTTTGGTGGCGGTCTCAGAATTCACCTCCGAAGCAGGGAAAGAGGACGTGGAAGTTGCCAGCCGGGCAGCGACTGTGCCTCCACCTCCGCTCCAGCTGCGGCGGCCGGGCCCTGGAGCGGTGGGCTCAGACCCAAGGCTACAGGCTCGGGAGCAGAAGATTAGGCCACGTCGGGGCAGGAAGGGGCGGCCCAATAGGGCTCTGCCACAGCGACTGCAGCAGAAGCAGCGGTCTGAAGCGTGCCAATGCTGGCCCTCATAAGCCATCTGGCCCTGGTCCAGGCCTGTGGGGACCAAAGTCAGGGGTGGGGACTGAGGCAGAACCCCAGGCATACTCCCAGTCCTGATGAATGGGGCCTTAATTGGAAAAAAGTGGTGGATTGAGACAGTGCACCCTGATTTGCCGCCCCCCTTCCTAAATGGGATCACTCTGGAGTGGGGTTTGGTCCACACCACATGGCTCCTCATCCTCCTGAGTCTCTCCTGGAGATTGGCAAATGTCTTACCTACCCACCTCCCTTTATTGCCCAGGGTGCCCCTCTGGGAGTGGGGTTGATCACTGGAGGACTCTTATGATGTGAGCCAGACAGACATTAAAGGGAGGTGACTTCAGGTGGGTGGGCCTCAAGAAGAGGCCTGGGTGGCTGTGGCAGAGCTTAGAGGGGATAGTGTCACTAGAAGGTGGGATCAAATCTAGGCTGGTGGAGGAAAGTGGAAGAAAATGGGGCATAGCTCAGGGCAAGCAGAGGCTAGGTTTAGAGGGCTTTGTGCTGCTGGTGGGTGGAGACATGTCACAGTGGCCTAATGTGTAAGTAGGCCTTATGGCAAAGCTTGGGATATTGGGGATGGAGCTTGCAGAAAAAAGCACTAGACTGTGATGCTGGGACTGAGTTAAAGGATAGGGTGTAGTGGGGGCTAGGGCCTGGTGGCGTGGGGCTGTGGCCCAGCTATACATGCATCCCTCCATCCAGTCCCATTATTCACCCACCGATGTGCTCCCCACAGCCATCACAGTACTCCGCATGTCGGGCCTCATAGCAGGCACAGCAGTGGGGGCGGCTTTGCCTCATGACATAGCGCTGCCCTCCTAGTGAAGCTTCACACTCGAAGCAGCAGAAGTGACCCATATGCCAGTGCCGGCCCTCAGCTTCTGTGCACTCAGGGGAAAAAATGATCTGGAAGGTGCAGGCCATCTGTAGCTGTCAGAAGGTTCTGCCCTGACCCTTTCCACCCTCCACTCCCACCCCTGGGCAGAGAGGCACAAACCTCGTCACAGGCTTGGCAGCGTGGGCGCAGGCGTTCAGCATGGTGACGCCCACAGTAGACCTTGCCAGCATGATAGAAGTAGATGAGGTCAACAAGCAGCTCCCGGCATGTGGTGCACACAAAGCACTGTGGGTGCCAGCAGGCACCCAGGCCTGCACGGCTGGCAAACACCGCAATGTCCCCACCTCCAATCTGCTTCCCACACTGCCAAATGACAGACAGACACGGTCACCATCACTAAAATAGTCAGATGGATTGGGTCAGCCAGGTATGTCACACTTGGGTCTTTCCCATGGTCAAGTTTTATGACTGGCCTCATGTACAGGGTAACTTTTTTATTTTTTGGTACTGGAAATTAAACCCAGGGGTGCTTTACCTCTGAGCCACATCTCTACCCTTTTTATTTTGAGACAGGGTCTTGCTAAGTTGCTCAGGGTCTCGATAAACTGCTGAGGCTGGCTTTGAACTTGCAATCCTCCTGCTACAGCCTCCTGAGCTGCTAGGATTATGGGTATATGCCATTCTGTTTAGCAGTAATATTTTTAAATCAGTTACAGGGTTACTTGGAGACAGTTTTCACTTACGGGGGTGCCTTAGTGACTGACCCTGTTCATGGTCAGAAACCATAGAGACAGGCACTACATATTGAGGGTGGCCTTACAGGCAATCCTCCTGCATAGGGGGCTGGAGCAGACGTAGAGACAGAACAGATCTAACCACCAGGACCTTATTGACAGACTTCAACCAACAGTAAGTTCTAAGGACAAGCTCCACCCACCAGAAAAGGCCTTAGAGATAATTCCACCCACCACTTGGCTTTGGACACAGGTCCTGCCACTGTGGGTCAGTTTCTTTGTGCTGGGGATTGAATCTTGAGCAGGCTAAATAGTGCTCTGCCACTGAGTCATACCTCTAGCCTTTGGGTCAGTTCTTAAGCACAAGTCCTGACCACCAGAGGACAAGAGAGAGAGCCCACGGCCCATGTCCGTTATTGCATGGAGGAAAGAAACCAAGGCCTCCTTAGAGAAAATCTATACCCAACAGTGGGATCCCAGGGACAGGTCCTATCAGTGGGCTCTAGAGACACATCTTTTCCAGTAGAGGGGGCCCTAGAGACAGTCCACTGGGGCTTGAGTGGCAGGCCTCAGCTTTTCAGGGCCTAATAGGTGGGTCCTGCACCCCAGACCTTCAATCCAAGGCCCTTCATGATTTACCTCTTCACAGATGGCTCCAGTGATGGTCACTGGGAAGATGCGAACAGTTCCACGCCCCAGATTCTCTCGCTTCCGCTGCTGACTGAAGGCTCTCAGTTCTTTCTTCTCCTCCTCTTCCAGTGCTGTGCAGTACTGTGCCTAGGGGGAGCAGGGGTCTTCCAGACTTCATCCACACTGACAAGTTGACTTCTAGGACTTTCTATAGCTGGTGCCTCCTGCCTGAAATACCCACCCCTTCCCTCTTTTTCCAAAGCCAAGCTATGGTTTTGCCAAGGAATGTTCCCTGATGGCCCCTGCCTGTTCAGCCCTAAGCTCAGTTCAGTTTACCTTTTCTCCTTCAACCCTACCCATTTCCAACTGTCCTGCATTTGCCCAGGTTGTGCTCTCTACCCAGCATGCTCTTTCCGTCTTCTCTCTCACCTCACTATCGTGTGGGGGCAGCTGATGCAGCAACTGCTTGATCCTGTATTTCTCCCCAGGACTGTTGACATAGGGGACCTTGTCTTCTGGGAGGCAGCTGAAAAACTGGTATACCTGGGAGGACATGGTGGGGGTGGGTAGGAGAAAATAATTGAGATTAAGGGTGGTAGGGACGCAATGAGATGGTGAGTCCCTGCCTCTCTAAAAAATTAAACTCATCAGAAGGGAACGTCTCTTGGTTCCTCCTTCTCCCTAAAGCTCCCAAACATGCTGAGAGTTCTCATATGTCTTGACCCTACTTTCCCCTCCAGTTATGCTCCATTTTTTTCCTTTTTCTGTACAGCAAAATTCCTCAAAAGAGTTGTGAATGCTTATATGCACTCTACTTCCTCTCCTCCCATTTTTCCCTTAACCCTGGTTGAGTCCCCAGCACTGCAATACACACACACACACACACACACACACACACACACACACACACACCATATCCTGCTCGGTACAGTAGCACACATCTGTAGGCCCAGTAACTCAGGAGGTTGGGGCAGGAGGATTCCAAGTTTGAGACTGGCCTCAGCAATTTAGTGAGGCCCTAAGCAACTTAGTGAGACCCTTTCTCAAAATTGTAAAAAAGAAAAAAAATTAAAAGGACTAGAGATATAGCTCAGGGGTAAAGAACCATAGGGTTTAATCCCTAGTACCAAAAAAACAAATATATCTTCCCATGTGAAGTTTAGATTCTTGAAAAGAGAAATAGCCAATAAACAAACATGTAAACATATAGTCATCCTTTGGGATCTTTGGGGGATTGGTTCCAGGACCCCTCGTGGATATCAAAAACAGCAGATGCTCAAGTTCCTTGTATAAGATGGTGCAGTGTTTGCATATAACCTATACACATCCACCCATACACTTTAAATCCTTTCTGTATTACTTGTAATGCCTGATACAATATAAATGCTATTTAAATAGTTGTATTGTTTACAGGCTAGGGGTATAAATCAATAGTAGAGCATTTGCCTAACAAGTCCAAGACCATAGGTTTAATCTCCAGCACCACAAAAAAGAAGTATTGTTTAGGAAAATAATGACAAGGAAAAAAGTCTGTATGTGTTTAGTACAAGTGCAATTTTTTTTTTCAAATCCACAACTGGTTGAACCTGAAGATGTAGAACCTGCAGATATAGAAGGGAAAAGCTATGTCAGATGGTATAAGGAATATGGAACAAAAAACCAGGGAAGGAGCCAGGTGCAGGTTCAGGCCTGTAATCTCAATGACTTTGGAGGCCAAGAAAGGAGGATCTCAAGTTCAAGGCCATCCTCAAGAGTTTATTGAGGCCATGTCTCAAAATAAAGAATAAGAAAGGCTAGGGATATAATTTAGTGGTAGAGAGCTCTGGGATTCAATCTCCAGTGCCAGAAAAAATAGCAAGGGCAGTGGAACTGTAATAAGGAACTCAGGTAGGCCTCTGTGAGAATTTAATGTCTAGCCGGGCATAGTGGTACATGCCTGACATTCCAGCACCTAGGAAGGCCGAGGCAAAAGGGTTGCAAGTTAGAGGCCAGCCTCAGAAACTTAGCAGGACCCTGTCTTAATATTTTAAAAAAGGGGAAAATCAGGCTTGCTGGCACATGCCTATAATCCCAGCAATCCCATCAGCTCAGGAAGCTGAGACGGGAGGATTGCAAGTTTGAGGACAGGTTCAGCAACTTAGCAAAGCCCTAAGTGACTTAGTGAGACCCTGTCTCAAAATAAAAAATAAAAAGGGCTGGGGATGTGGCTCAGTGATAAAATGCTTCTGGGTTCAATCCCCAGCACCAAAAAAAAAAAAAAAAAAAAAGAAGGGGGGGAGGAGAAGGAGAAGAATTGAATATTTGAGCTGCTCCAAAGGATGTGAAGAAGTGAGTTAAGCAGATATGTGAATTAGAACAATCCAGGTAGAGAGAATAGCAGTGTTAAGACCCAGAGGCAGGAGTGTATTTGGCAGGTATGTGTGAGAAAGTGAGCAAAGGGGACAGCAGTTGGAGGCGAGGCCAGAGAGGTAGCAGGGCCATGGAGAGGACTTTGACTGTAACTCTCAATGAAGGGTCAGTCACTAGAGGGTTGTAAGCAAGGAGGGACATGATTTGTCTTAGGAGTTAACAGGATCTATGGCTGCTGTGACAGCCTGTAGGAATGAGGGAGGAAGCAGGGGGAAGAATGAGGAGGAATCAAGTGACTACTGCAACGACTGGTGACTGTGCTGATGATGGAAGTAGTGAGTCTAATTCTGGAGAATGAGAGTGTATATGTATATATATTTTTGTTTACTCCAGTGCTGGGGATGGAACCCAGAGCCTTGCACATGCTAGGCAAGCACTCTACCACTAAGCCCCAATTCTGAATATATTTTGAAAGTAGAGCTGGTAGGACAAGAGGATTTGCTTGTGGGAGTCAAGATAAAGGAGTGAAAGATGACCTAAGAATATGTGGATGTGTTCACTTGTGTGAAAACTGTCAACTGGGTGTGGTGGTACATGTTTGTAATCCCAGTGGCTTGGGAGGCTGAGGCAGGAGGATCATGAGTTCAAAACCAGCCTCAGCAACTTTGTGAGGTCCTAAGCAACTCAGCAAGACCCTGTCTCTAAATAAAATAGAAAAAAAGGGCTGGGGATGTGGCCTAAGTCCCCCTGGGTTCAATCCCCAGTACCCAAAATAAATAAATAAATAAACAAACAAACAAATAAATAAATAAATAAATAAATGAGGGAGTTGCAGATGGAAGAGCTTAAGTTTGTTTCTGGCCATTTGGAGCCTTGGACATGCTGGCAAGTACTCTACCACTGAGCTACATACACCCTTAGCCCTTATTTTGTGTGTTTTCTTCACTGTGGTGTCCACAGTGCTTAGAACTGTGTCTGCAGTAGATGCTCAGTAATTATTTGTGGAATGAATCAGTCAATGATGGTGTGGTGAATGAGATGCTTAGATAAGACCTGGGGTGGGGGGTGCAATAGGAGTGGGTGAACAAGTCCTGGGGAACTGATCCAGTGATCACTCAAGGGTCTCCATCAAGAGGGGTCAGAAGGACACTGGAAGTTTGACCACACACTCTAGCATTGCTCCAGAAATAGATTCCTATTTGAGTGTTATGTGTTTGTGTGTTTGTGTGAGTGTATGTGCATGCCTGCATGTGTGTGCACCCACTGGAGAATGAGAGTGGGTGGCTGGCCTATGGTCACCTGCTCAGGTTTTAGGCCTGGGGGCACCCAGGCATACTCCTCTGATGCACAGCCTGAGTCATCATCCGAGATGGAGTGGCGCTGGAAGTCTGAGATTAGTCGACACATGATGCGTTCCAGGTCCACAGGTACTGCATGCACTGCGTGCTCTTCCCGTGGGCATTTGCAGTGCTGGCAGATCTTTCTGAGGGGGCCAAGATGGGTGGTCAGTTACCTAGGAGTAGCCTATCCAGACCCCCCTGAATCCCTTCACAGGCCAAATTCAATGAAAGAGCAGGACATGTAGATTACCACCAAAGAGCTGTGAGTATAGAGCTATGGGCCTCGGGGCTGATAGGACGTGGGGCTAAGAGTCAGGGTCTGGTTATGAGCCTGTGGCCAAGGTCATAGGGAGTGGGGTGCTGGTTATGAGGGGCCCAGCTTCTGACTGATGGCAGGGCCATAAGATGTGGGCAGAGGGAACTGGAGCTGGGGCTGTGAACCTGTGTGCACACAGAATGCCAAGGGGCTGTATAGGGTCTTGAGAATATCGCCTAACCTTCCTGTCTGGGACTTGGGTCAGACTCTCCGAGCAGTGAGCAAGCAGCTGGTCTGAGAGTGGTGGGACTCCAGAACTGAGAGTGAAATTCTGAATCTAGGAGCTTCCCTTCAGGAAAGGCTCCGTGCTTTGTGGGGGAACTCCCTTTCCCTTGAGGCAGGGCTCCAGCCCTGTGATGAGGCACTGAACTTGTGTTTGTTGGGAAGGTGGGCTGTGAGCTCCCGTAGGAGGATAGGACACTGGCCCTGGGAGAAGAATGGAGTCCTGAAGAAAGGGGTTGGGGAGTGTGTGGGCGATGCTCAGAGCCAGGGTCAGGCTTGGGGAAGCCTCTTGGGCAGGGGACTGTGTAGTAGGTGGAGCTCTCCTGGGAACAGGATTCTTTGTAATGAGTTAGGGGGCAGGGCTCTTAGCCTGAGATTGAGGCTCTTTTCCCTACAGAGATCTTTCTGTGGGCAGAGTTCAAGCCTAGGGACATGGTCTAAGCCTCCAGTAGTTTTCCCTGAGGGCAAGGCTTTGACAGAGTTGAGGTCCTGGAGAGGGTTCACTTACCTCCAGCCATGCAGCAGGAAACCGGGGCACTGCTCTCTACAGGAGTTGCAGGGCTGGCCCCGGTCTGGGTCCTCTGCCTCTGGAGGCTGTAGTAGGCGGAGGCAGACGCAGGGCCAGGCGAGGCGCCAAAGCAGAGAGGGAGAAGTCAACGCCTGCCTCTCCACTCCTAGGCCCACGACTGCACGCTGGGGCCTGTCCCACTAGGGCAGCGCTGGGCAGGCTGGGACAGCGCCTGGAGCGCAGGGGAGGAAGACAACCGAGCCAGAGGCGGGGCAACTGGGGCCACCTCCCCATATGTTCATTTTTCAAGGAATTACTCTCCCTGTGCAGTCTTTGCCTCTCCCCCAGCCTTGGACACATCCCACCAGCCTCAGATCCCTTCAGACCTCCCCCAGAATTAGGGTATTCATCCCACCAGAACAGAGTCCCAAATCTTGGCATCCCCTCCTAGGCTTCATCCCAGCAGCTTCTCCACCAAGAAGACAGCAGCAGTTGGATTCCATAGGGTAGAAATCTGAGACCCCCATTCTTCCTTGGGATCCCCACATAAACCATGCTACTCCCTTCAGAAGCTCAAGAGCCTGCCCCCAAATCCTGCCTTCATTTCCTCATATCTAAGAAACTGGGGACTGTCCCCTAGGATCTCAGGAAGCCCCTGCTCCATCCAGAAACCCCCACCCCATGAAGCCTTGGCCTTTATTCCTCCTGTTTACTAGGACTATTCACTCCTTTGGATCACCAAGCCTAGACCCCACCTTTCCTAGTCAAGAGACTTCCTCCAAAGGAAAAGAAAGACCCTCCCATATGGGAAGTCAAAAGCTCCCCAGGCTCCGGTGGGAGCCTGGAAGCCCTTTTACCTCAAATCCCTGTTCCTCCACCCTAAGCATTGGGGCACCCCACAAGGGTGGGACCCCATCCCTCAGTCTATTTCCCTCCCCAGGGTGTGGAGGTCCCTGCTCCTCCCAAGACCCCAAGACTCAGCCTTTAAGAACCCCTCTCATAGTTCCCAGGAAAAGGGACACACCACGACACAGGGTTGCTGATAAAGGTGTGCAGAGAGGTGATTTAGGAGCATGGGCCACCAGATCTATATATTCCTTTATCCAACACCTCCAGGGGCCCCAGAGCCCAAGTCTGGGAGAGCTGGGGATAGGGATTCCCGGACTCTCTGTGGGGCTTCTCCAGGGTATCCCTGTGCCCTGCGCCCTCACCTGGGCCTCAGTTTACTCCTGACCCCCACCGCTGCCCTGATTGTCGCTCACCAAACGCCCGGAGCGGCGCCTCCGGGATCCACGCGCGAACATGGCGCGTCCGGACAGGGTCAAGCCGGGCCGGGTAGGGCGAATGGAATCCTCGCGGCCTCCAGGACACGGCGCGTCAGGCCTGGGAGCTCTGTTCCGTAAACCTGACACCGGCGTGGGAGGAGTGCGCCCCGTAGGGTCCGCCCCCGGCCCCCGTTGTCTCTCCGAGGCCAAAGCGCCCCCTGTCGGAAGGTGAGCTGTCCGCAGCCCGGTGGTGTCCTGCAGAAAAGCCCCCTGCCCTCTCGACCCCAGCTGCAGCAGGAGGCACAGCCTCTAGAACTCCAATGTGTCGCGTGGCCTTTAGGACTTAAGTCTTTAAGTAGTGGAGGAGGGAGCTTCTTGGAGGTGGCTACCTGACTGGAAGGAGTGGTGCACTAGGGTGCTTTTATGGACGCCTTGTGTCGACTTATCTTGGATGTTTATTTGGGCAGGGGTTAAAGCCATCTCTTGGCCCCTTACCACTGGTGAGGTTCCAAAGTTCTCTTTTCCTTAAAAGAATACTGCAAGATGGGCTGGGGGTGTGGCTCCGTGGTAGAGCACTTGCTTAACACGTGTGAAGCACTGGGTTTGATCCTCAGCACCATATAAAAATAAATAAATATACTGTGTATCCATCTGCAACTAAATAATAATAATAATAATAATAATAATAATAATAATAATAATAATAATAATAATAATGTGAGAGTGGTTCCCAATCGCATCTACAGCCCCAGCTGCGGCTCTGTGACTCTAACCAGACAGCTAGACCCTTCCTATTTCTTTCTGTGAGCAAGGATTGTATGAGGTTTGTGGGGAGGAGGCTAAAGTCAGCGGCTAGGTTTAAAGGATCTCTTCCAGCTCCCTCCCCATCCCTACAGGCCCTGCCACCATACCCACCAAGTCCAGAGAAGGAGATTTTAAAGCTTTGCCTCCCCCACCTCCATTTTTTCTCTCTTGGGGTAGATATCCCCTTCCCAGAGTTGGTTCCAGAACTGGAAGTCTCTTCCTTGGCACTCTCAGGCTTCACTGTGCCTCGGGGCTGGGAGGAGGGGGTCCTGCGTCTGCAGTCAGAACTCAGACCTCAGGCGCCTAACCCGGGTCTCTAATTAGACATGGAGGGGAGCCGGCGGCGGTCAGCCCGGCCTTTCATCGTGGGCGCCAGGAACCTCCCTCAACCCCATTACACACACCTCAGTCACTTCCCTCCCCTTTTAGTCCCCGGGAGGGTGTAAAGAGAATGAATAAATTAATTAAAGAGTCACGCCAGCACCCCACCTCCCTGATGTCGAGGTTTTCCAGCTGGGGCAGTCAAGGAAAAGGAGAGAGCACAGGATTGGGTAGGGTAAGGTCTCCCTGTGATGTCTCCCTTGGGGATCCGTCTGTCTGTCTGTCTGTCTGTCTGTAGTACTAGGGAGCAAACCTAGAAACTCTTACATGCTAAGCAAGTGGTCTACCACTGAGCTACATCTCAAGCCCTTCCCATGGGGATTTGAGGATAGGGCTCCACAGGAACCAGGAAGGATAGTGGGCTGAGGGAACCAAACCCTTAAAAGACCTGTCATAGCTAGCAGGTCTACTCAGAGCTTGACTTAGAATGACTGGCAGGCGAGGAGCCTTCACAGAGAGGATGTGGCAGCAGCCTGAACTGCATTCATCAGGTTTGGGTCTTAGCCTCCTCTCCCTAGTCTTTACCCGCACCCCATCTGCCCCCCAAAAAGACACATTGAGAAACTGCAGCCGGTTGGACTAGGTGGTTGAGGAGTTTATTTGGGGGAGGAGAATTATTCATATTTGTTCTTCCTGGGGAGGGGGTCTTCAAACAATACCAAAGGGCAGGGTGTGGGAAAGGGGGGTCTGGAGGGGAAAAGAAGGGGCCACAGCCAGACGAAATGGCAACACACAATCACAGGCACTACCGACATCACAGACACAGCAGAGGGTGCAGGACAGGGGCTCCAGACCAGGCCTCCAACCACCCCAGATCGGGTGGAGATGTGGAGGGAGGGAGGGGCAGGGGAAGGGGGAAGAGGGGTGGGCCAGCCCCACAGACCTGCCTGGCTCTGCCCTCTGATTACCTAGCTATCTGGTCAAGGGGAGGGACAAGGGTGTGGGGGCTGTTCCTCTCTGGATCCCACCCCTCACTCTCCAAGCAAAATCATTCGTTTTTTTTTTTTTTTCCCAGACCAGCTTCCTTGGTTCCCAGCCTTAGCTAGGGCCATTTTCCCCACCCTTAACAAAACTCATCCTGCAGCTCCTAAGCACCCCCCACCTACTACCCAAACCTGTTCAATTTAAAACACCTTTTCTTCAGTGTCCTATTGGGGGAGGGGCTGCCCTTTCTGAAACCACCAGGCTCACCCCACTCTAACCACACCCCTTCTGGAACCCTGACTAGGACAGTTCACCCCAAGCTTAGCTCATTCCTGAACCCCACCTCTTGCTCTACTCAAGATGTGTTCCCATTAGATCAAGTTCAGATTCTTGAATGTGCCAAGCCATACACACACGCACACACACACACACACACACACACACACCTTCTATAGGCTGGTCCCAATCCAAGACCCAACCAGTCTGGAGTCCACTTGCTGGCTCACATAAACCCCCACCCCTTCTAGAGACATGCCCTGGGCCTCCTTCCAAGCCTCACCCCAGAATGCTTTAGGCACCCCTTTACTTTAGTTACTCCCTGATGACTACTCCCCTCCACTATAGAGCTCCCTTTAAAGACCACCTTGGATCCAAGCTGTCCTCTCTACCCCAAGATTCCGGATCTCTGCCTCTCTCCCACCCTCAGGGTTGAATTTTCCTTCACAGCTTTGTTCAGGCAAGGCTGGTGGAACCAAGGCCAGAGTTAGGAGGAGGGGCTAGAGAGAGGGGAGAGAGTGAATTCACACCCACCCTCCCCACACAGCTGAGGTCTGTCCCCTCCCTGTCCCCCTTCCAGAGCCCCCTAAATTCAGGGGACAGGGGCAGGAATCAGAGAGGGGCTGAGGAATGCAGGGAAGGGGCAGGAGTAGGGAAGAAGCCCACTCAAGACTGGGCCCCTAGTGCATGAAGGGAGAGGGGTGAGGGCAGGGCTCAGACAGATAAATAGATATTTATATATAATATATATATATATAAACAGCAAAGACAGTTAGGGTCTCCTGGCTTGAGGGATGGAGACCTAGGGTATAGGGGAAGGAAGGGGGGCAGGCCTTCTCCTGAGCTCTTGCCCACCCATGGGGTCCTCCCGGGCTGCACTGACCTGTAGAGACAAAAAACACAGAAAGGAGAAAGGGTCTAAACACAGATGGCACCCTTAGGGAGGAGCTGCCCCCTTTCCCTGGGTGCTGCTGCTTTTTCCTTTCTTTCTTCACTCACAGCCCTGAAATCAGTTTCTTTCCAGCTGCCCTCATGGTGTTCCTGATCTTGAGCCTACTGGGTTAGGTACCAAAACCATTAAGGTTCCCCACTCCCAACTAAAAACAATCCATTAACAGCTATTGTTCTAGCCACTGGGTATATACCATATTGAGCAAAACAAAGATCCCTGTCATTATGGGGCATACCTTGTGGCAGGGGGAAACAGACTTTCCTTAATGATGCATAAATGAATTATGTAGTAGAACATAAATTCATAACATTGAAATAAAACACCAAGGGGCATGGTGTCAGCAATGGGGTCACATGGTGCCTTGGGGATCAAGCTGTGAAGACTCCATCTTTGCCTCCAGATGTGATATAAGCCATGGAATGATTTTGAGCAGGGAAGAGTAAAATGAGTAAATGTCTCATGGTGTTTCCATCATTTATTCAATAAAATGTTTTGCAGCATGAGGAGTGCTCTAAGTGATGTGTGTCCTGTATGAATAAGTTATGGTTATATTCTTCAGTCTAGGGGAAGAGACAGTGAATAAACATATACACTAATAATTATAGATCATGATAAGGAAAAGCACAGGGTACTATGAGAGAGATAACAAAGGGGATTTGTTTTAGACAGGCAAGACCTCACCGATCAAGTGACCAAAAGGATGAAATGAAGCGGGCTAGGTAGATATTAATTTGTGTGGGTATGAAACTCTAGGAGGAAAACAGGTTCAAAGGCCCTGAAGTCAGATTGTGCTTGACACATTGCAGTGGCCAGTTTGACTGAAACAGAGCAGGAGAATGGTAGGTGAGATCAGGAAAGTGAGATGGGGGTGGGGGGCTACACGTGTAGGGATTTAATGTACATAGTGAAAACTTCCAGTTTTAATTCCAATGAGATGGGTGAGATGGGAACTACAGCTTACTTCTAAGTACAGGAGGGCCATGAACTAATTTAGGATACTGCATAGAACAGAATAAAAATGGGGGTGCACACCTGTGAAGAGGTCCAGGGGAGATTACAGTAAGAAGTGGAAAGACTATGGAATTATTTTGATGGTAGGGCCCACAGGGTTCTTTGTTGAATTAGATGAGAGATGCTTTAATAAATCCCCTGCCTTTTGCTTCCTAGCTAACCCAGTACCAGAAACTACCTCTACCCACATGTTACAACTTCCTTGCCTTCCTGCCCCTGCCCCCAACTCAGGGAAATCTCACTTTTTTTTTTTGGCAGTACTGAGGATCAGATTCAGGGACACTCTATCACTGAATTACATTCCACCCCTTTTTATTTTGAGGCAGGGTCTCACTAAATTGCAGAGGCCGCGCTCAAACTTTCAATCATCCTCTTTCAGCCTCCAGAGTAGCAGGGATTGCACCACCACCAGATGACTCAATTCTCTCTTAAGGCACAGCAAAAAGATCGGTAAGCCATGCCGGGCACAGTTGTGCAAGCCTGTAATTCCAGTGACCTGGAAGCCTGCAGCAGGACTGCAGGCTAACCTGGATAATTTAGCGAGACCCTGCCTCAAAATAAATAATAATAAAAATAAATTAGGGGGCTGGGGCTCAGAGGTAGAGCGCTCGCCTCGCGGGTGTGAGGCTTTGGGTTCAATCCTCAGCACCATATAAAAATAAGTAAATAAAATATTGTGTTCATCTACAACTAAAAATTTTTTCGAATTAATTAATTAAAAAGTGTAGTTTAGTAGTAGGCCAGCCCTGGGTTTAATCCCCAATACTGCAAAAATAGTAAGTAAAAAAAATGTCGGTCAGCCTTCCCAAGCACCCCCCACCCCCAACCCTTTTCC